TTTTGCTGGAGCCTATCCCAGCCGTCTTCGGGCAGTAAGCGGGGGACACCTTGAACCAGTTGCCAGCCAATCGCAGAGGGTTAATATTACTATAACTATTTAAAACTCAAGGAAGGCAATCATGTTTTGTGTAATTTTTTGGAATGACATTCTATTCGTCACGTGACAGCCCACGGCCAGTCCGTGGCACGTGACTCAAGCGCATTGGTCGCCCAAAAATGCAACTTCCACAATTTGGACTGTTTTTTGGTTGTTAATTCCAACACCAACAGCGCAACAAGTTGCCAACCTGTGCAACACATTTTGAAATGCTACGTGGGCTGACGATCGTTTCGAAAAAGGAAGCAAAATATATACATTTCAGGCAGGCAGCCGTCAGCACACAGATATTGAGAGTACGTAATTGTTGATAGATAAAGCCGTCATTGAGTGGCTGCCATGTTGAAATGACACATTATAAAATGACACCACTTGTATCATAGATCCATAGTTGATGTTTGTAACAAACCAATATGCATCAAAATTGCCAAAGAATTCAACAAGTTAAGAGCGAAGAGAGGACAGAGTGGTTATTTTGCCGTGACCGGAAATTTTTAACTAACATCGATCCTGTATTTCGGCTACGAGTCCGCCCTACACTATGCAGACTCGTGGTGGTCGGCACAAGTTACAAAATACAGTGATCCCTCGCTATATCACGCTTCATTTATCGCGGCTTCACGACATCGTGTTCGCCCCCCCCCCCAAGTACTGTATTCAGAAAAAAAATGTCGAAGTTGGTTCCCGGCGTGACGTCGACCAATGATAGCACGAGTGGATTTATCCTGTGAGCTGATTGGCTGCGCATATTTGCAGCCACGCCCAGCACCTTCACTTGTGTCTCGTCACGCTGTTGACTCTCTGATCGATGTGTCTCGTCATGCTGTTAACTCTCGTTCGCCTGTCTCTCTCTGGCATACTTTCTTCTGTTGTGTTTGCTACTTTTTTTTTGGGGGGGGGGGGGGGGGGGTGGTGTGAGAGAGAGAGGGAGAGAGAGAATGATTGGGCTTGTACGAAAAAAATCAGCACGTCTCTTTGCCTCCTCCTCATCAATACCGATTAAATGTCTTATCAAAAGCACATCAGCTGCGCGGGGATAGCTGGCCAGGAGCTAGCTGGAGGCTAACGGCGGCTACACCGTCAGAGCGTAAAGTGAGAGAAACCTCCACTAACACAAGTCTCTTCGCCTCACTCAGGAGGCAATGCTGATGAATGTTAATTACCGTATAAAGTTGTATAATTAAATATTTAAGTAAATACCAGTACTGCGGTCGTCTTTTTCTCAAATATGTAAAGTCGAATCACTGTTTACATATTTTAAACATGCTGCTACCCACATATACTGACACAAAAATTCCAAGGGGGGAAGCCAACCCTCCTTTGCGGTTTTTCACTGATTGCTGCAGGGTCCCATTCCCCATTAACCGCGATAAGTGAGGGATCACTGTAAGTCTAAAATTAGTGACGGTATTACCCTACATCCCGGTGTAATAAGTGGACTTTACAACTGTATTAGAATTTGAATACCACCCAACGCTTGGTCTCAAGTATGCTCAGAAAAGTGAGTTGACCCTAATTGTAGGAGACCTCTACTCATCCAGAAATCTTACCTTAAATAGAGCTTGTTCCATCATGACTATTATCAGAAACAGGAAGTTGGATGGAGTACCTACTTACGATGCATTGTAACTATTTTATACCAGCAGGTGACAATGTCCCCCATTTATAGTGGGAAAAGTGTTGTTGTGTTTGAAAGAGAGTTGGACTTTAACCCAAGAAATCATCATTTAAAAAGCTGATGCTTCCGAAAGGACTCATACAGATAACGTGTAATTTCTGGAATATACAGCGCACCTGATTATAAGTCGCACCCACTCCATTTTTAAAGGAAAAACCATTTTGTACACACATAAGCCGCACCTGTTTATAAGCCGCAGGTGCCCACATTGTAACATGAGATATTTACCAAAAAAAGACGGTACACAGAAAGTGTTTTCAAAGTTTTCATCACATACCTTAACTATTCTTTCTAAATAGTGCCTCGGTAATGCAGTCGCAGTTTTGTAAAACAGCACTTACAGGGCAGTTTAAAAAAACACATAAAAGTTACTGTTCACTGTCGAGTAATGCTTTTTTTTCTATGAAAAGAATCTTCACTTGGCAAAACACTCGGTGAACCATTCCTTCAGTAGGCTTTCTACCATTTACGCTTTCATGTCAACTTTCACGACAATGTCTTTCTGAGGGTTTTGGGGGGGGGGTTTTTGGCATAGTAATCCTTGGTGGATGCAGTGCAGCCCAAAACACAGGTCAAATGCGCCCTCTCATGCCCGGTTGTTTTCACTTTGACAGATGATAGCGTCTTCCTCGACACTTATAAATCAACTTTCTCACTCTTACCTTTTATGCTTGAGCGCGCCCCGGCGGCCATTAGAAAAATCTTTAAATAGGCCGCTTTATTATATAAGCCGCAGAGTTGAAAGCGTGTGACAAAAGTCGCAGCTTATAGTCTGGAAATTACGGTATATTGATTGATGACACATCCTGTACATTATTATGATGACCTAATTTCCCTAGGCGTTGGGAGGGTGGCGATCCTGGCGTGTCCAACCAGAAGACACCGACCACAATCTTGCTGACCCCAGACAGAAAGTTCCACAGTTTTGGCTATGCAGCACGTGACTTTTATCATGACCTCGACCCAAGTGAGTCCAAGCACTGGCTCTACCTGGAGAAATTCAAAATGAAGCTCCATACCACAGCGGTAAGAATCCTGCTGACACGCACACATAATTGTCAGCAACATAACAGTCCAAATGCACATTCCATATGAACTGTTTCGAAAAATGTAAAAAGTCCATTTTGTTGCCTGACTAGGACTTATTCTTGTGACACTGCTCTCAAGCACCCATTAAATATTCACCGGTGGTTTATTGTTGCGCATGCATAAAGTTTGATGCATGTGTTGCACGTGCAACGTTTAGGTGGTCTTTTCATAAAAGATTTTCAGCCTGATTTTTTCGGTATCCCTCACCCCAGGTAGGTGCTGCAAAGTGTACTCACAACAACATTCTCACTTCATCCAGGATACATGTACAGAACAGTTTTTGTTTGTTTTGTTTTGAAGCAATGTGATTGAGGGCGATGGATTGTCTCAGAGATAAGCAAGACATAGTCAAGGTCATCTAGTCAAGAGGACCCTGTCGACACATTTGGAAAGGGTGGCAGCAATAAAAAAGAAAAAGAAAAACAGAAAAGGAAAGGACAAAGATGATTGTAGAAACAAGGATGTAATAAAAAATTCTTTTGAGCAAATAAGCCTACCTATGAACCAACTAAACATTAAAAAAAAAAGATTGAATCGATCATTGTCGCATTTGTTTTGTAGTTATTGTTGATAAAGCTGATCCTAATATCGTTTCCATCATCCCCACAAACAGAATCTGTCCATCAACACGGATCTCCAGGCAGCCAATGGGAAGCGGGTGAAAGCTTTGGATATCTTTGCCTATGCACTGGCTTTTTTTAAGGAGCAAGCACTAAAGGTAATGTCCCAGAATTGATGATCAACAGTATATACCGTATTTCCATACATTGTCAACATCAGGGGTGCCCAATACGTCGATCACGATCGACCGGTAGTTCGCAAACTGGTCCCAAGTCGATCGCGAAGGGTGTAGAGGGGAAGGAAAAAAAAACAACCCAAAACATTTGTGTGTCTTTGTGCGTGTTATTAATATGATATATTTTTGTGTGAGTGCACACTGCACCCTTAGCATCCATTGAGTCTCACTTTCACAAAAAGTATTTAAAGAATAAAATTAAATTAAAAAGCAGATCACTGTTAACCTTCAGTGGCGCGTAACCTGCATCACCCGAAATTGTTAGCGGTCAGTAGTCTGGAATTGTAGCATGTATCAATTCACCGAGGGCACTGGCAAAGAATGGGAATCTGGAGTGCCGGGAGAAGCATTTTAAAATGGTACACGTGAGCTACGATCGTTAACATGCTGCAAAAGTGCGTTCTATACCTCCGCGTCGGGTCTCTACGAAGGTAGGCAGAGATTTGCTTTTCACAAACTCACAAACTTTTGTGTCTACTTTAATTTTCTGTTTCATTCATCTTAGGGGCCGTTATGGCACATTCTCATCAGGGCATGCGTGTGTAAGTTCGTGCTCAGTAACGGGTCGATCGCGGGAGGTTGGCTGATCGAAAAGTAGATCTTTGGTCAAAAAGGGTTGGGCACCCCTGCTCTACATTATTTCTTACTCAACTCAACTCAACTCAACTGTATTTATAGAGCACTTTCAAACAGCCATCGCTGCATACAAAGTGCTGTACATGGAGCAAATTAACATATACAACAAACAGTAAAGCAAATCGGTAATAAAAACAGTAGAAAGCACCGAACAGCAAAACCAAGAACAATCTAAGTCATGCTGAGTCAAATGCCAAAGAATACAAGTGAGTTTTGAGGTGGGTTTTGAAGATGGGCAGCGAGGAGGCTTGCCGAATGCTCAGTGGGAGGTCATTCCAGAGAGAGGGACCAGCAACAGAAAAGGCTCGATCCCCTCTGAGCCTCAGTTTAGTTCTTGGTACTTCTAATAATGTCTGGTCCGCAGACCTGAGGCGCCGGGCAGGTGTGTAGGGGCGGATGAGCTCAGAGAGGTAAGGTGGCGCAAGGTTATTTAGAGATTTGAAAACAAATAAGAGGATCTTGAAAATAACTCTAAAATGTATGGGGAGCCAGTGAAGGGATGCCAGAGTAGGAGTTATGTGCTCCCTCTTACGAGTACCGGTCAAGAGGCGAGCAGCGGCATTCTGGACCAGCTGGAGACGCTTAATGGAAGACTGGCTGACTCCAAAGTAAACTTACATGAACAGGGAGTGCATTTTGGGAAATGTATTGTGTTCATGGATTAACAAAAACCCTAAATCATTCATGTTATTGGTAAGAAAAAAAATGGACTTGAGATATGCATATATTGTATATGATGCATGCAACCACAGTTATAATTCCATACATACATACTGTACTGTACATGCATTCATACCGTACATAGAATACATGGAGCCCACAGAGTGCATTTGTTTTCATCTTGCAGGAGCTGAGTGATCAGACAGGTGGCGAGTTTGACAACAATGATGTGAGATGGGTCATCACTGTTCCTGCCATCTGGAAAATGCCTGCAAAGCAATTCATGAGGGAAGCTGCTTATAAGGTGGGCTAAGGGTCTCCACCTTCTATTATTCGTGCATCGATGAAAGTATCACATGCAATTATATTAGGGTGTTCCCATCAGCATTTTATGCTGCCAATTACGATACCATTCACATGGATTAGCTGCACATTTTTACATTTTAGAGCTACTCATGAATCATTATTTCAATAACAGCAAGTTTCCATCAAAGATGGCTTTGTGTCTCAACTTATTTTTGAGGCTAATTTAAAAAAATGTCTTTAATTTTTTTCCTAGCACCTCAGGTTTTTGAGATATTTTCATTTTTTGTTTTTTAAGTTTGACTTATAGATGCTTGTGCAGTGCCGATTTTATCATGTGTAATTTATAGCGTTTCAGAAAAAAATGTCAGCTGGTGCTGAACCTAAATTTGATGAAATACCGTCTATTATTATTATAATTATTATTGTGAAAACCTGATGTGCTTGAGTAAAAATGAGGTCAAATTCAGAATCACCTCAAATAATTTATCTAGAAAAGTTTACCTGCGTCTTTCATAAAAAAAAAAAAAGAAAAAAAAAGAAAAAAGAAAAAAATAATACGATAATAATTATAATAATAAATAAACATTTGTTGACAAGTGTAATTGGTTACTCAGTCAATATTTCTTTTCAGCTGATGACTCAAGATTTGAAAAAAGAAGATTCTATCCAAAAATCCATCCATTTACTTTTCAAAAAAAAAAAAATTGACTGTGCAGAAGCTGCACGAACATGATTTAGTTGCTGGTTTGGTCTGTAACGTGGAAAGGGGGAGTGGACATCGTACAAGATGGTCTCTCGTTGGCTGCTAGCTGCAAAGTACGAGTTTCGACTTGAGTTGAGTTGTGATTGGCAATGAAAGGCATTGATTGGCAAATGCCGATCGCGTGCTTTTACACGACAATCAGGCCAATTAAGATTGGTGGCCGATCGATCAGAGCACCACGACCATATTTTACGGACCTTTAGGGACACTGTATTGATAGGTGTAACATCAATGAACTGGTCTATTTGGAAAAAAAAGTAATATATAATATGCATCTGGTTAAAAGGTGCATTATTTTTGGGAAACGTATGTGAAATAGTTTATTCTACTTATACCGTATGGTTATTTGATAGATTTAGAACTGTTATTCTCGGCTCAGGTAGCTGCATGGCTCGCTTGCTTTTGTTCGTCGTGCAACTACACGGGGGGTTGCTTTGAGCAGAGGAGGGGAGGGGATCCTCCGACAAATGATGAAAGTTTGAACATCACGAGTCAATCTGGTGACTGGTGGTGTTTATTACTTTGGCGAATGCTAAATGATATATTGGCTACTAAGGGCCAGGAACACCGCCTTCAGAGCTGGAAATGTGGTGGGCCTCAGGACTGCCAGGGCCAACCTGTCACGAGGCATCAGACTGGCCAAAAGACAATACTCAAGGAGGATTACAGACCAGTTCAAGGACAGCAGAGACACCAGAAACCTGTGGAGAGGGATCCAGACCATCACGGACTACAAGCCCTCTCCGCACACCTGCGACAGCGCCATCTCGCTGCTGAACAACCTGAACGACTTCTTCACCCGTTTTGAGACAGACAACAACACCCCAGCACAGAAGACCCCACCCCCTCCTGGTGACCAGGTGCTGACACTTTCCCAGGATAGTGTGAGGCATTCCAAAGGCGAACAAACTGCTTAACTGCGATCTGCTGCGTGACTGCGGTCTGCTGCGGAGGCCTGCTCAATCACCGACCCCCACTCCTGCAACCAGCCCACGGTGGAAGCGCCACCGACGGAATCTCAGGAAGCAGAAGAGGGGGAAGCGCGGAGGTATCCGGGCTAGGCTAGCAGCTAGTCCTCATCGACCGGCGATCCCGACAATCACGCTGGCCAACGTACGCTCGCTGGACAACAAACTGGACTATATCCGCTTACTTCGGACATCTTCCAAAACCGTGAGTGACTGCTGCGTTTTTGTTTTCGTGGAGACATGGCTCAACGACAGTGTACCGGACTGGGCTATTCGGCTAGCTGGGCTAACGTGCTGCCGAGCAGACAGAGAGCTCGTCGAGGGGGGGAAGACTCGCGGCGGGGGAATCTGTGTTTACATCAACGATGCCTGGTGCCGTGACGCTGTTGTGGTTTGCAAGCGCTGCTCACCAACCTTGGAGTTTATGATCATCAAATGCCGGCCATTCTACCTGCCGAGGGAATTTAGTGCCATATTGCTGGTTGCAATATACATTCCCCCTGGCTCAACCAACAGCAGGAGTATGGCTCTGGCTGAACTCCATCAGTACATCAGTGAGCAGCAGACAGCCCACCCCGACATCTTTCTCATCTTGGCTGGAGACTTCAATCACGCAAACCCCAAGAGCGTGCTTCCACAACTACATGGCCACATCAACTTTCCCACAAGAGGCAAAAATATTCTGGATAACGTCTACACCACAGTCAGAGGATCCTACAAAGCCCTCCCCCTCCCCCACCTTGGTGCCTCAGACCACACCACTGTGATGCTACTGCCAGCATACAGGCCACTGGTGAAAGTCATCAAACCAGTGAGGAAGCAACTACGAGTGTGGCCTGAGGGTTCCACAGAAGCACTCCAAGACTGTTTCTTCACCACAGACTGGAGTGTATTCAAACACGCAACAACTGACCTCAACGAGTACGCGGAGACCGTCACGTCCTACATAAGGAAGTGTATGGATGATGTCACGGTCACCAGAACCATTACTATCCAAGCCAATCAGAAGCCATGGCTGACAGGTGAGGTCCGCAGGCTACTAAGGGCCAGGAACACCGCCTTCAGAGCTGGAAATGTGGTGGGCCTCAGGACTGCCAGGGCCAACCTGTCACGAGGCATCAGACTGGCCAAAAGACAATACTCAAGGAGGATTACAGACCAGTTCAAGGATAGCAGAGACACCAGAAACCTGTGGAGAGGGATCCAGACCATCACGGACTACAAGCCCTCTCCGCACACCTGCGACAGCGCCATCTCGCTGCTGAACAACCTGAACGACTTCTTCACCCGTTTTGAGACAGACAACAACACCCCAGCACAGAAGACCCCACCCCCTCCTGGTGACCAGGTGCTGACACTTTCCCAGGATAGTGTGAGGCATTCCCTCAGGAGAACAAACGCCCGGAAAGCAGCAGGTCCTGACAACATTCCGGGTCGCGTCCTGAGAGACTGTGCTGAGGAGCTCACTGATGTTTTCACAGACATTTTTAACACCTCACTGAGCCAGGCTGTTGTCCCCACTTGTCTCAAGGCCACCACCATCATCCCGGTCCCGAAGAAGTCGTCACCCTCCAGCTACAATGACTACCGCCCGGTCGCACTCACCCCCATTCTCATGAAGTGCTTCGAGCGGTTAGTCATGCAGCACATAAAGTCTGCCCTCCCCCCCTCCCTGGACCCCTACCAGTTTGCATATCGGCAGAACAGATCAACTGCAGACGCCATCTCCACCGCCCTTCACTCAGCCCTCACCCACCTGGAGACCAAGAATTCACATGTCAGAATGCTGTTCATCGACTTCAGCTCAGCATTCAACACCATCATTCCGCAGCAGCTCATCCACAAACTGGACCACCTGGGGCTCAACACCTCCCTGTGCAACTGGCTGTTGGACTTCCTGACGGAGAGACCACAGGCAGTTCGGGTCGGCGGCAACACCTCCAGCACCATCATGACGAACACAGGAGCCCCACAAGGATGTGTGCTGAGCCCCCTCCTCTTCACACTGCTGACCCACGACTGCACTCCTTCTTCCAGTTCCAACCTCTTTGTTAAGTTTGCGGATGACACGACTGTAGTGGGTCTCATCAACAACGACGATGAGACAAGCTACAGGAGTGAGGTGAGCAGGCTAGCCTTGTGGTGTAAGGACAACAATCTCCACCTGAATGTGGAGAAGACAAAGGAGATTGTTGTGGACTTCAGAAAGACGCACTCCCAGCATGCTCCACTGGCCATTAACGGTGCCACAGTGGAGAGAGTGAGCAACACCAAGTTCCTGGGAGTGCACATCTCTGAAGACCTGTCCTGGAGCCACAATACCGCATCACTGGCCAAAAAAGCCAACCAGCGCCTGTACTTCCTCCGCAAACTGAGGAGAGCAAGAGCCCCGCCCCCCATCATGCAGACATTTTATACAGGCACCATTGAGAGCATCCTGTCCAGCTGTATCACTGTGTGGTATGGTGCTTGCACTGTGTCCTGCCAAAAGACCTTGCAGCGCACCGTGAGAACAGCTGAGAAGATCATTGGTGTCTCTCTGCCCCCACTCGTGGACATTTACTACTCCCGGCTGACCCGCCATGCCATCCGGATCGCAGGCGACCCCACACACCCATCCCACAGCCTCTTCAGCCTGCTGCCGTCGGGAAGGAGATTGCAAAGTCTCCGTGCCAGAACCAGCAGGCTCAAAGACAGTTTCTTCCACCAGGCGGTCAGGAGACTCAACTCCCTCCGTGCTCTGCCCAAACTCCCCACCCTCTGCCTCTGCCCGACCCCTGCCTCCTGTCACAGACTATGACCCTCCCCTCATTATCCGTCATCTGCATATTGCATATTGCACAATGCACTACGTCACTTTTATCCTCAATAGCCTCAAGTGCCATTGTTTTATGCTGCTTTTATTGTATATATCGTCTTTTATTGTATATATCGTCTATATGTTTATACTGTTTTAGACTACATTGTCTTTCACTGTTTGCTGAGGATTGAGAGAAATAAATTTCATCCATGCTACATGTCAATGTATGCATATTTGACAATAAAGTTGAACCTTGAACCTTGAACCTTGAACCTTGGTTGACAGTTCAACAGCTGTAAACAAGTCAATGCATTCACCTTTATCCAACATTTTACAGCAGCTTCCGGAAGCTGGCTGTATTTTTTTAACTCGCACCAGTCCCACATTGTAAGATTAGAAATATGCCGCCCAAAAAGCTCATTTTACATTGGATCTCACCGACGACTGTTTGTATTAGGTTAGTAGGA